TTTTTAGAGTCAGAGGTTTTGAGGCTTTATTTCCCTGCACTGGCACCCTGGGTTGTGTGGTCTGTGTCACTCCCCAGTTGTTCCTCCCAGTTTATCTCTTCACAAATGTGAGACCTCCTGCTCCACCAGCCGCTGCCTTGCCACGAGTCCTCTCTGCCCCAGCTGCCTGACTCTGCCCCTCCTACAGGTCTGGATGAATGTTTCTTCTTTAACTCCTTGGTTGTCGGACTCCTATACAGTTCGATTTTTTGGCAGTTCTGGTTATGTTTTGTTTTTAAATTTGTTGTCCTTCTTTGGTTGTGTGAGGAGTCAAAGTGTATGTACCTATGCCTCCATCTTATCCAGAAATCCCTGGTTTTGAACAAAGGTATAAATCAGCAATTTTCAGCCCTTTTTATCTCATGGTACACATAAACTAATTACTAAAATTCTGTGGCACGCCAAAAAATATATTTTGCTGATCTGACAAAATATAGGTATAATTTTGATTCATTCACACCAGACGGCTATTGTTGTGTTGGTTGTTGTCATTTTTAATTTGAGAGTCTAGCAGGAGTGTCCAACCTTTTAGTATGTCTGGGCCTAACTGGAAGGAGGATAGTTGTTTTGGGCCACACATTAAATACACAAACACTAACAAAAACTGATGAGCAAAGAAAAGGTTTTAAGTAAATTTACGATTTGGTGTTGGGCCACATTCACAGCCATCCTGGGCTACATGTGGCCCACGGGAAGCGGGTCGAACACCGTGAAGGGGAAAAGAGGTCAGTGCCTGTGACTAAGTTGTCAGGTATTGCATGTTTTAAACATTCTTGCAGCACACCAGAGTGCTATGGCATACTGGTTGAAATTATTGCTATAAATTATAGTTTGTGTATGAATATTTTTGTTTAACATTTATCTTATAGTGTTACAGGCAAGCCTTGTTAGAAATCAGGTATGTTTTTTCATTTAATTAAAAAAAATTTTTATCCTCACCCAAGGGCATTTTTTCACTGTTGGGAGAGGGGGAGGGGGAGAGAGAGAGGGAGAGGAGCTATGAGAGATAAACATTTATGGGTTGCCTGTATACTCCCCATCTTGGGATTAAACCTGCAGCCTGGGTATGTGCCCTGACTGGGAATCAAACACTTGTCCTTTTGGTCTACAGGCTGATCCAACTGACTGAGCCATATAGGCCAGCAAGAGATTTTTTTCATTTTAGAAAAACTTTTCAGGAAGGAGTAATCTGATACATACCCGTTTGCTTAACTGCCACTCATTTGGGGAATCTATTTATAGTTCTCTGGTATTAATCTGGAGGTGTATATATAAATTCTTTATATACATAAATAAAGAGAGCAACAAATATGTTTTGTTGTAGAAACTAAGTAGCCTTTAGAGTGGCCATGAGACAGTTTTCAGGGTAACTTTAGGGTGCGGCTTCTCCCTTCTCGGTAAACCAGGCTGTTTAAAGGCCATCACATTGCCTTGTTGCTACAGTGATTGCTAAGGAGGGATAAGGACAAAACTGTTCCAAACTTCTTATCTTCTTGAGGTTTGATTTTGATAATTTAAAATGTTGAATTATGCAATGTGGTAAAGAAAGGAGGTCTGTTAGTTTACTGTCTCTGCATAGACCAGTATTTGAGGCTATCCACAGTCTTCCTTCAGTTAAAAACTGAATTTTGTCAGCTGTTACAATATGGCAGCATTGGGCAAATGCAGCAATGGACATGATTTAATAGCTGGAAGTAGTACCTTTTTGAAATAGGCTCTGTCTCTGAATTTATTGGTGACAATGCCCAAGCTTATGTGCAAGTTATAATGGGATAAAACATAATACCTAGATATTTTTAGTTTATCTTTGTTTTAGAGGATTGCACAAATTAAAGGATTGTTTTAGAGGTTTTTTTGAAACTCATAATCCTTTAGTCTATGTTTTTAGATATACTCATCTAACACTAAAAAAACCTTAATTTTTATTTTACAAAGAGATCTGTAAAAATGGTTGTAAGTTTGAATGAGAATTTTCACTTGTTACTGTAATGTCACTCATAGAAATGTATAGAAAATTAATACCTTTTATGGATATTTAACTCTAAAATTTTAAGTATTATTCTGGTAAGAATTTCAGGAAGATTTCTCATTTACATGGTTTGGTGCTTTGGTGTATCTGTCCTTGAGTTTTCTCTTAATACGTGTCAAAATAAAAATAGGTCAGTTTTTATGTTTACAGTTATGAGCAAAGAAGAATATTACCTGAATTCAGTCTTTGTAGCTCTCACTAATACAGGAAGGTAGTTCTTGCCGTACTATACAGAAGAGTTACCTCTAAAAGTATCTTTCCACACACTGATGTGTGGAACAGTTTAAGTACTGCCTTTATGAGATTTGAGAATAAAGGGATATAAGACAGTTCTTACAGTGATCAGCTGTTTTGCTTTTTTCTGGTTTATGAGAAAACCTATGAGATACCAACTATAGGCCATTCATGTCTGAAATGTTGAAATCCATCTAGACTAGTCAACTCTCTTTGGAGTAGTTGGTAAGGTTTAGGACATTGATATTCCTCATTCATGTAAGTTTGACCCATTGATGTAAGTAGGAGCAAAAGAGCAGACTTTCCTTTAGAGCAGAGTTTCTTAACCTATGTTCTGGTAAGAAATTTGTTTTACATTATGATCCAGTCCAGCTTACATGCACTCACACATGCACAAGTGTGCAAAACCAATCATTAATACTTTGTGCAGTGCATTGTGTGTTCTGTTTCATTTTCTAATGCCAGAATTGAATTCTATAAAATAGATTTCAAAACCCAGTGATGGGCACACCTGCAGTTTGATAAACTCTGTTTAGGCTGTTCCCTTATTCCTACCTTCAGTTTTCTCTTTACCCTGCACAACTATATATGTGTTCTCTATTACATAGTTTCCTATGAAATGGTTGATAAACATCTCTATAAATTATGGTGCAATGGAAATCTAAGGAAGAAGAGGAACTCTTAGGACACATAGATGTGTGGTCATCTCTGCAGTAGTTCTGCACATCTACCTGTCTACATAGCTGCTCTGTGTGTAGGAGCTCGGAGGGCGGGAGTCAGGACTGGTAGAGGCCTTGGCTTTCTTCTCCAGACAGAGAATGGGTAATTTCATACTCCCAAGTATTTAAAAAGGTGATTCCAATTTGGTGGGGGAAATAAGTCAAACCAGAATTTGAATTTTTAAAAAGAAATCCTTTTAGGCTTAAGAAATTCTAGATTCTTAGACTAGAGAAGATAAATAGGAGGGACTCCTTCACCAGTTTGATTTTTGTCCCATGCTTCTTTCCATGGAATAATATTCAGTAAAATACTATATCAAAAAGAATTCCAATTTGAGGGACATAAAATAAGTTTTAGTTATTCTATCCTTAATTGGTGTATAATATCTGAATTTCAGTTAATGTGAAGAATGAACACATGTAGCAAGTTTATTTAAATTTATTTGCATCTTTCAGGCTTCCTCATTTTAAATTAAATCATTGATTAGATTTTAAGTTGCCTCTAAACATAAGACACTTCAATCCTAATATCCAGAGTATTAGGCAGGGATGTGACAAACGGAGACTTGCCCCATGGTGCCGTTAGGATCCTGCCCAGGAGTTATTTGAAATTGGCAAGCTCACAGCCACTTAATTCTCATTATCTTCCAGATTTGAGTGTTTATAGTAACACAACCAGTCCAGTTTTTAAAAAAGTGTAGGGGGGAGGAAGGTCTAGCAGCTGTAGTGTTAATTTGAAAAGAATTACTTACCTTGTTATTATAAACTATACTTTCTCTAATATTTAGCTGAGCAAGGTAAATCTTATCTATACTAGAGGTTGGAAAGGAAAAGAATATGAAATGGATTATGTAGCTACAGGTTGATAATTTTGTATTTCAGAAGGTTAGTAAAGAATTGATATCTGCAGTGGTAGGTTAATTGGTTAAAAAATAATTCTGAGGGAGACAGTAGTGATTAAAAACAAGTAAGGGTTGATATTTTTTTAGGAATTACATATCTGTATAGCTTAAAAATGAACTCAACTAACTTAATAATTCTTTAAGTAGTTTTAGAATAAATTATCTTGTAGCAGTGGTTTGAGAAAGGAATGAGTGAAGGAATGTTTTATTTTCTTGGTTATAGAGAGATAAGTTTTTGAGTTGAAAACCATATATATATATATATATATATATATATATATTTAACATTTTAAACTTTATTTTTAGAGAGGGTGGATAGGGAGAAAGAAAGGGAGGGAAACATTGATGTGGGAGAGAAACATAGATTGGACTGCCTCTCACAAATGCCCAAACCAGGGACTGAGCCTGCAGCCTAGGCATGTGCCTTGACGGGGAACTGAACCAGTGACCTTTAGCTTTCCGGGGGGGCGATGTCCAGCCAACTGAGCCACATTGGTCTGGACAGATAATGGGGTTTTTAAAATCATTTTTATACAGCAGTTTTCATATGTATGAGAAAGAGAGAGATGGTTTGAAATGTGTAACTGTGACTTGGGCTTCTGAAAACTAGAAGGCTATTATATTTAAAATGTAACTGATGGTGTAGACTTGGGGAAAACATTATCAAATAACATTAAGCTTTTCTTGGTGCATTGTTGTCTTACGTGTCAGCAGTGTAGGTGAGGGGAGTAAACTGTGCTCCTAAAAACTGCAAGGCCTGCCCCCCACTGCTAATAGGTGCACCTTAACAGTGGCTAGCAAATAATACCAAATGCAGTTCATGAAGTGTGATTTCACATAGATGAATTAAATGGTTAAGAACAATTATATTAGGATTAAATTTATATATTCACTATTTTGAGGTCCTAATATGTAAGGTTTGTCACTATGAGCTCAATAATCATGTTAACTTGTTTTTCATATAATAATAAATGATTAAGGCTTCATTATACTATCAAAATTATGTACAATTGGGGCTTTAAAGTCTTGATTGGTTTACTTAAGAAAAATTAATAAAACTGTTTATTTACTTTAAAGCTGCAGAAGAAAGAAGATCAGCAATTAGAGCCTAAAAAAAGCACCAGCCCTAAAAAACCTGCAGAGCCCACTGTTGATCTTTTAGGACTCGGTAAGTAACGAAAAGCCTCAGTCACCATTAGTTACAGAGCAGTTGGAAGCTTTGCTTCAAATTAATATAATGACTCCATTGTCAGTATGCTAAAAGATATCTGCTAACTGAATTTGAAAATGGTATGATTACTTTGCTTAGTTCCTACAAAAAAAGGAAGTGTTTAATAAGGGAGACAGTTAGTCTCTGTCAGCACTGTCTTCACTGAAAGCCAAGTAATAAGTTCCTTGGGGAAGGAAAAGATATCAAAGTAATCTTCAAAGGCTTGGCAGACTGTGACAGTTCAAAATGTAAAGAGTAGATTCATTCTCTTTCTCTGTCTCTCCCTGTCTGTCTAATTTTGTCTGTGTTTGTGTGGCGGTGGGGGTGTCTCTTAGCAAAATAAGTCTGGGGCAACCTTATTGTAAAATATGCCAGTTTAAAGAAAATTTAGTTTTAGTTAACTGAACCAATATGCTTTATACTTACACCTACTAGCTAGATTCATTTATACCTGATGACAATAGAGCTCATTTTAATTTCATGTCATGTTTAGTCTCATCACCAATAGGTGTGTGTTGTCTCCTTGGTAAGTAAACAGGCTTTTTCATTCGAGAATTGCTTGTACCTTGCTTATCTACTGATACTGGTGATTCGTTTTACATTTTTCTTCTCTTTTCTCTAAAATAGCTTGGTAAATGGTTATTTTTAGTAATATCTGAGCCTTCCAGCAGTAATTAATTTAAACATGTTTTTAGAGAAAGAGTGAAGGAAAAGAATGAAAGATAGCTGAAGGGGGAGAGTTGAACTTCATACACTGCTTTTCTTGATCTTAGTTCTTACTGAGTAAATTGTTTTCTCTGTGAAGAATTACAGTCGAATATTTTATTCATTTCTTAAGAAGCTGTATAACAGTCAAATATACACCTTGGTGTTAAAAATCTCCTATGATGGTAAAACTAAGCTCTATTTTAAAAACTGTAATTTTGAAAATAGAGCTTCAGTCCAGGGCTCTAAATATAATTATGTTGAATTCTAGTCCTCATAATTGCTGTATTTTATTTCCTTTGCTGTGAGAGAAAAAAAAAGATTGACTACAAAAGTAAGAAAAAAATCTAACTGAAACTATATGCATCTTTGTCTTCATTGCAGCATTTTCTTCCCAGTCTGGGTGCCTGGTTTATTAGTTTATAACTAACTTAGGAATATAAGATATAAACCAGACCTGACTCTTCCTATAGACCGATTCACTGATTGAACAAGTATTTGTTAAGTGTCTTTTATGTGTCCAGGCACCAGAGTAGGAACTAGGGAGATAGCTATGAAAGAAAGCAAATAAAAATACCTGAGCTCTTGGAGTTTTCATTCTATCTGAGGAGACAGTGAGTAAATAACAGTTCAGTAAAATATGTCATAGATCATATATGGTAGGTGCTATAGATAAAAGAAAAAATGAGTGGCTGTAATTTGAAATAGGGTTAGGGATAGGGGTGTTCACTGAGATATCATTGGAGCAAAGACCTGGAGAAGTTACAGGTATCTGGGAATGTGGTGAAGGAACATTCTAAGTGGAAAGACTCTGCGGTAGCAGCTTTACTTCATGAGCGCCGGGACTGGCAACGAGGAGAGTGTGGCTAGAGGGGAATGATCTGGGGAAGGGGGGTGACAGTGGAGAGAACAAAGGGGTGAGGAGGGGCAGACAGATTGTGACTTTGGCTTTTATTCCAAGTGTTCTGGAGATATATTAAAGGGGTTTGAGCAAAGAAGTATATCACCTGACTTTTGTTTTTAAAGTATTATAGCTACAGTGTTAGGAATAGATTGTAGCAGAGGAAGGTCAGAATCAGCGAAACCAGTAAGAAAACTATCACAAGAGTACAGGTGAGAGATGAGGATGGCTTAGAGCAGGCGCTGGCATTGGGGGCTATAAGAATTCCAGTTCTGGATATATTTTAAAGATAGTGCCAATAGGATTTGCTGACCAATTGAAATGATAGGATATTTGCCTTCGGGAATAAACCTGTAGAACAGGCAAATCTGATGATTTAGGACAAGAAAAATTGTTGTAGCAAAGAGGGGGATGGGATCTAGTAGACAAATGGATTGCGACTGGCCTTAGATATCAGCTGTTATTGGAATAATGGTGCATAGCAAATAAGCTCCCCAGCGCTCGACTTACATCAGTAAACATTTCTCTCACTCTCAGGTCCGTGATGGGGTCAACTAGGGCATCTCTGCTAGAACTTCATTTGATATGTTTTCTACCTTTCTTATAGGAATAAATGTTTCCTTGCCTTCTTGATCTCAAAGCCAGTTCCACTTCAGGGTTTGGCGATGGCAGCTCGCTCACTCTCCTCTTCTGGTATCAGTTTCTGTGACAGTCAGCTATTGCTGCCCGTTCTACCTACTAACTCCAAAATCTAAGTGGCTTGCGTATCAGTTCCCATTTCTTTCTGTTGCTCAGGGTCTATGTGTCTTCTGAGACAGCTCTCTTTCGACAGTGGGAGAACTTCAGGAAACATTGTCTCAGGGGAGAACTAGGTTCATTTAGGGCATGGAAGTGAAGGGACTGTTAGAAGAAGAGGTCAAGGATATATAGAGGATATTCCTGGTCACAGACAGTTTTAGATCATACACTGGGAGAGTTCCAAAGGTAGGAGGGGTGGGCGATGGGGTCAGAAAGAGAGATATCTTGCTGATGGAGTTTTAGCCACAAGAAACTGGGAGTGTCTTACCCAGAACACATATAGCTCTTCACTCATGCTGGTTATCAATATCCCAAATTCTTTAAAAAAATATTTTCAGGCATTTTTGAAAGCGGCGATAAATACGAAATTTGACAAGTTCGTGAAAGTCTAGGAGACCACAGAATCACAGGTCCCTTTCAGCTGAAAACATACAGTGCTCCTAAATCAGTTTGATTATCAGGGACCACCTTGGGCAGCAGACTGTTTTTCTGGTCTTAAGCATGCCACTTTCCCTGATGGGACTCTGGCTTCCCCCTGTAAACGGAAACATGGTTGGAGTAGAAAGCAGTATGATTTATGCTCATGCAAAATTGACAGCATATCTCCATATGAGTGAGACCAGAATAGGCATTAACTTAAAACATTTTCAGAAGAATACAGAGAAAACCCCTACATAATTTAATTCACTTTGAATAGTCTCATAATAGGGTAATAATTAAGGTCATTTTTTAGTGTAGTCATGTACTGCATAACAACCTTATGGTTGACAATGGACCATATTTATAATAGAGTCCCATAAGATTATAATGGAGCTGAAAAAATTCAATGGCCTAGTGACTTCGTAGCCTTGGTACTGTCTTAGCGCAGTGCATTGCTTGCATGTTTGCGGTGTGAACAAATCAACTGCATGGCCAGTTATATAAAAGTGTACCACATGCAATTACAGTAGTAAGCTACACCACCTAGATTTGTGTAAATACACTCTGTGTTTGCACAATAGTGAAATCGCCTAACAACACATTTTTCTTTGTTAAGAGGCATATAACTATAATTCGACCTTCCTTTTAAAGGAGTCTTTGGTGAGATGATGTTCTTTTCTTCAGTCTGGTGACTCAAGCTAAACCCGCTTTCTTCATATCACCTTTCCTGATCTATTCCCCATCCCAGGGACAAACGTAAATGCTCTCTATATACTTTTTAGCCAGGATCAGCATTGTTTTTCTGAAAAGGACCAGATATTTTGGCTTTGCAGACCATATAGTCTCTGTTTTGATTATCCAGGTCTCCTATTGTATGTAAGTAGACCTAAACAAATATATAAACAAATTATTATGGCTGTATTTCAATAAACTTTAAAAATAGGCAGCAGGCTATAGTTTGCTGACCTCTGCTTTATGTTCCTGATTATACCTGTGAGAATTACTTCATATTTAGGTGTTAATTTCTGTTTAAATCTTGCAGAAATACTATTTATTCAGTCCAATACCAGAAATGGGGACAGATACTTGATTATTACCTACCCTCTATCTAGCCTTGGATATAACCTAAAAGCTCCGGACCCTTCTTGACTAAGGAGAAAACTGAACAATCCCTGAATGCTCTAGACTCAAATCAGACTTCAGAGACAGGCACATCTTGACTTGAATAGGTTCTTCATTAGTTAGAATTTAAAGCTTCTCGGGCCTATAGGGGTGGAATTTTTATGTCTTCTACCTGTGTAGTTATACTAGGACTAGGAATTTATTCCATTAGGCTAGCTCATTCTTTGTTGTATTTTACTTAGTTTTTATGTGATTAAAAACTGACAGACTGCTTAGGAATTGGTTAGGATCATCTCCCAGACTAATGATACTTTAATTAATCAGTATTTTTTTTGGTAGGAGACCCTGTCTGAGAATAAAATCTTAAAGGGTGAGCATATGCTCCAAATGTAAGTCTTGGAAAAAAAACTCATAAATTGCTGGTGTAAACTCATAAACATGACCTTACAAGTTTCACTTCAGTCTTTCATCAGAGGCGGAAAGCCCTCCTGTGGGGCTTCTGTCCTGTTGCCAGCCATGCACGGCAAGTGTGCTGCACAGCAGCCTGGCCCATCCCAGGAGACTTACTTTCTGGCCAGCATTCTTTCTGTTACGTACAGGGGAAATAATGTGACTAGGTGGGCCAAAGAAGGTTTCAGAGAGGACCACATCCTCTCAGTGCTCTGGAAGGCATCTCACAAAGAGTTAAGTATGATTTTGGTAATGAAAAGCTAGCTCAGGGCATGTTCACTGTGTAAATAAAATTGTCTGTTCTTATGCTTACTCACTTTAATCTAGGGTAGTTTCTGCTTAACATATCTGAACATGTCATGTATTATTCTAAATATTGAACTGTATACAGGCACTTCTCTTTTTATTGTCTTTCTCAGATATTGCTTTTTTTGTTGTTGTTAAACAAATTGAATGTTTGGGGCAACCTTGCATCGAGCAAGTCCCTTAGTACCATTTTTCTAACAGCATTTACTCACTTCGTGTCTCTCATATTTTGGTCACTCTGGCAATCTTTTACATT